AGAGAGAGAGAGAGAGAGAGAGAGAGAGAGAGAGAGAGAGAGAAAGAAAGAAAGAAAGAAAGAAAGAAAGAAAGAAAGAAAGAAAGAAAGAAGAAATGAATTTTTAAAATGTAGTACCTAATCTTGGTCTTTTAGCTGGGACTTCATCAGTGTCCACTGTAGCAGAAAACAGAGTGCTGTAAAGAAAGGAAAAGAAGTGTGTATATACATATGTAATACATGTATTTCTATAAATAAACTTACCCAGAGCTGGAGATGTGACTCAGTTGTACAGCATGTGTTTAATATGTAAAAGACCCTAGGTTCAACATCAAACACCAAAACAAAAACTTTATACCATACTACATTCCTTCTTCCAACTACTAGTCATAGATGAGATGAAACGTATAAAACAGAAAGCTGAACCCAACACTCCCTACAGTGTAACAATGTGTAATCTGGTCAAATTAAACCAATGAATCATTTGCTTTTGAACAATGACCCCAAAGACAGACATTTTTTATTTCAAGTGACAATATTAGCAGCCTTAAGAGGTTAGGTTATTGGAGGGGCTTTTGGGGGAGAGTGCTTAACTGCCCCTCCCCACCCTTACCTCAGTGCTGAGGACTGAAGACAGGACAGGCATGATAGACAAGCACCCCACCACTAAGGCACACTTCTAGTCCCTAAAAGGAGTTGCATTGGTTTGGTTTGGTTTTGTTTGAGGGGGGAGGGTGGGTCAAGACAGGGCTTCTCTGTGTAACAGCCCTGGCTGTCCTGGAACTCGCTCTCTAGACCAGGCTGGTCTTGAACTCACAGAGATCCACCTGCCTCTGCCTCCTAAGTGCTGGGATCAAAAGTGTGGGCCAGCCACCACTGCCCAGCAAGTTTTTTTGTTAGACTCGAGCCCCTAAATATAGTAAGGAACAGCGGTGTAGGCAACTAGAATTCAAGGCTGGCCTGGACCTAAACACACACAAAGGGGCGGGGGACGGTGCAATGAATGACTCTGATGGACCATGAACCAGAATAACTGTGAGATTAACAGTCCCCATTCAATAAAATACGCAGTTTCATGGTACACCAGACCCAGCATTAAACAGTCTGCCCTTACGTAGTCTTATAAACATCACTTTAGGAACTTTATAACAAATTATTCTTCTCTCTGGAATATGTGCTACGGTTTAGCTAACACCCAATTCCATCAGTGACCTACATTCCTAGAATCATCTATGAATCATTTTGTTCTACTTCCCCTAAACCAATCTTTCATCCATTTCTCTTGACCTGGAAACACAAAAATAATAACCATCATCATAATGAATGAAGCAGACACAGCAAAGTAAGGAAAGGAAGGAGAGAAGGATAGGAGAGACTTATGGGGAATATAGAATTTGCACCGTATTTTAATCTCTAGACAAATCCTTAATTAAAGGGGAAGACTGTAAAATAAGTAAAGGAGTAGATGCTAAGTAATAACATTGGCAATTTCCCTCTAATTTTGACCAAGTCTTGGAGTGCGGTACCTACTTTCTTTCTGCTTCTTACACCGATGCTAAAGAACGGGACCATTCTCCTCCCCTCTGGCCCCCCACACACACGGCTGCTGTCAAACAAGACGACTGCTGTTCCTTGGTGCGAGGAGAACAGTACTCGAAGTCAAATGACTGTGGGCAAACTCCTAACCTACTGGCGGGTCCCTCCTTGCGCTGCCCGCCCGCTATGGCATCGGAGACCGGAGCTGGACGGGGCGAGCAGCACAGCGCCTGCCTCCCGCGGCCCCTCGGCTCACAGTTAGAGGGGCGGGCTCGCCCCAGGCCTCCGCGGTCCCGGAGCCGCCGGTTCCCACAGGCCCGCGGCGCCCAACGCCAGCGCGGGGGAGGGGACCGGCGCGCGGCCGCCTTACCTGCTCGAGCGCCGCCTCTTGAGCAGGGCGCGGGCCCCGGGCGCGGGCCGCTCGCACAAGCGGAGAATGGTGCCGAGAACCTTAGCCAGCCATCTGTACATTCCAGGCCTGAGCAGCAGCGGCGGCCGACACACCCCGAGACGCGAACCCCAGAGCTGTCGCCGCCGCCGCTGCCGCCTTCGCTGCTTCGGCCGTAGCCAGGTTCAGGCGCGGGCTTGTGACGCCATCAGACGGCCCGCAGATTCGACGTTTCCCGGGGGCCTATGGGCGGACCCTCTCCGCGCTGCTGACGTCACCCTCTTCCGCCCAACGGGAAAAGCAGCCTCCGCAATCTGCGCACGCGCAGCCTGGCCCCGCTCCTTGTAAAGTCTCGCAACAGGAAGTCGGCCTGGCCGAGCGGGCTCTTGCGCAGACCTGATTGGCAGGATGGTGGGCGGGGCTTTCTCTTCGGCGGAGCCAGTCAGGAGTCGGCCTCGGGACAAGGCCCACAGACCCAGACCACGTGTACCGCTGCTGAGTGGTGAGAGCTACCTGAGCCTCCTAACACAGTGTGGGCGCTCTGTGAAAGAATGCACCCCGTGAAAATAGGTCAGGTTGGCTGTCGGGTGTTTAACGTCTTACTCTCCATTTTGCATGTACATTGGCCTCATACGTTACAGGGATTGTTGCCGTCATGATCACAGCAAGCAAAGCAATAGGGAGTATGCCTGTCATAAAAGCCAAAGGTATATAACAATTAAATCATGTGTCTAAGATAATAAAGCTGTCCACCAGCATTTGAACAAGAGTCCAAGTACTAGGGCCCATTCGACGTTCTTAAGGTCAAGCCTACCGGGAGAGACATTTTCACAGATAATTATAAGTTAGAATACAAGATAATTAGCTGCTGCCATGAATAGGGGTGCAAAGTGCAAAGAAGCCAGAGAAAGGAAGACCACATGCTGAGAAGGGAGGGCAGAAGGACGCATCCTTAGGAAAGTGGTGTGGGATATTTGTACACTGTGTGAAGATGTATTGTTGTGATTGGTGTGATAAAGAGCTAAATGGCCAATAGCTAGACAGGGAGGATAGGCAGGATTGGGGGGGAAGAGGAGAAGGAATCACAGTCGTGAATAATCTGAGAGAAATGCCAATGATACACAGAAGGAGTCAGACATTCAGAATGAAAGAAAGGTAAAAAGCCACATGGTAAAATGTAGATTAATAGAAATGGGTTAATTTAAGTTATAAGAGTTAGTTGGGGAAAAGCCTAACCTAAGGCCAAGCTTTCATAATTAATAAGTCTTCATGTTGTTATTTGTGAGCTAGTGGCCCAGTGAAAAATCTTACTACATGTGGTACCCAACCTGAGGCTTAGGAAGATTCTCAGCCTTTTTGGTTGAGGAAGGAGAGAGGAGGTCACTGGTCACTTCTCTGAAGCTCGCTGATCAATCAAGTTCTATTCCTGATATCTGACTCCCGAGTTTTTATTGATAAAGAATAATTAGATAAACACTTCATCTGACGCCCAATGTGGAGCTGGAATATCCATCCACATAGGGCCCCAGAAAGCAATCTCTGGGGTAGGCTCAGCATACAGAGGCATGGCTTTTTTAAGAGGTCCTGCTGAGCAGCTGAGCACTTGAGCAGCCCGCACTGTGTACACATGCCTCCTGCATCTCAGACTCTGCACCTTCCCAGAGCTGGGGAAGTAAATGCCTCCAGGCCTGGCTGCAGGCAGGAGACTAGCCTCTGACCAACTGGAGGGGGGTAGGGAGTTGGAGCCAGCCACCAGAGCCATGGGGTCATAGCCTCGTCATTTAAGGCTTGGCTCACGTGGTCAGAGAGGGCTACAGATGCACAAGAAGCCAGGTCCAGGTCAAGAAGACCTCTGAACAGATAGAGTATACTTAAAAAATGTGCTTAGAGACCAAAGAAAGGAAAGAAAAATAGATATAGACAGTCATAGAAAAAAAAACTTAAAAATAATAAAGTCTTTAAAAAGAGAGTAAAGTATTAAAAAAAAAAAAAAAAGCCAAGTAAGAATGGAAAATGTTATAACACACAGGGAGTTTGGACCTTATATGGTGCTTTGCTAATTTTGAATATTTTGAATGCTAATAAACAGAGGAATTCTGGGAGATAAAAAGAGAGGCCAGAAGATGCAGAGCAAGCAGGATGTTCAGGAGGAGAGGTAGTAGTCACGAGCCACATGGCAGAACATAGATTAATATAAATGGGTTAATAAGTTAAAGGAGCTAGTTAGGAACAAGCTAAGGCCAAGCTTTCATAATTAATAAGAAGTCTCCGTGTCATTATTTGGGAGCTGGCTGGTACCAGGGAAAGACTGGTTACAGGAAAGCTTCAGAAACAAGGACTGAATGATACCTGCAGCCTCCTAATCAGCTCCTCTGCTCCCCTCAGCTGTCAGGTCGCCATCTCATTATCATCCCTGTGAACGTAGAGCTCCCACTATCAATGATCAACTATGAACAAGTCCCACATTGTTTGGTGGATGGAGATCCACTCTCCTCTCAACAATCCTGAAGATGCGTCAGAGGTTTTTATACCCTACAACCCTTTCCTTGACTGCGCTTCAGTTAAGGCCAACCTCCAGGCTTGCTGGAGTTCAACCCAAGTGTTTTCCATGCAGACCCCTCCTTTCAACAGACTGTGTTCCAGGATTCAGCTGCGAGCTTCCTGCAGGAGTGTTAGTGTTCTGACTTGCCCTTTGGAGACCCACCCAGCATCCCGACATAAAGTCCCCTTTAAAAGGAATACTGCCCCTCTCCCGCTTCTCTCCATTCCCATGAGGTGTGTGTTGTGCCCAGAGAGACCACGGAAGATGAGCTTACCAGGATGCAAAAGCAAGGTTTTATTGGGGAGCAATTCAAGCCTAGGGAGGGACCCCGTCAAGCTATCTAACACAGTAGAGGCTGGAGGAGGTGCCCACCCCTCTGCAAGCTCAGTTTTTAAAGGCAAAAAACACAAGGTTACATCAGTTAGGGGTGCTAGTATGGGTAGAATTCTGATTGGCTCGATTCTAGGGACTTTCCAGAAACCTTATCTTTATCTTACATCTAAGGGGGGTAGATGCCTGTCACCATTCCTCATTGGCTGCCCTCAGGTGGGTACATTTCTGTGGTTAAGCAATCACCATGGAGACTAGGGTTGGGATACTCTGTACTTTGCACTTTCTATTCCTGGAATCTGGGTCGACTGGTTCCAGTAACTCAAGGCCTATACCTAAGATGGAGAACGTTTAGGCCTTATTTTAAAAATGGAGGAGCTTTGGTTCTTCAGTGTGCACCCTTTGAACCCCCTCTTCCTCCTCCCTTCTGTCTCCCTCTTTCCTTATCTTTCTTTTCATTTCTCTATTATAATAAACTCATCTCCTCATGGATGCAGCGCCTGGGTTGTGAATGACGTGCCGCCCGCAGCTACATATGCCCAGCATGTTTTCCCTCATGTATGGGATACCCTGGCCAGCTGGGGGGTCCCCTGCATGCAGTGTCATAACAATGAGGCCACCAGCACTCTGGCCTGAGAGGTGTCTGGAAGAGCCAATTCTAAATGCCCCTCAATTTCCCAAAGAATAACTAAGGCCAAGTTATGTTACTGAAAGTTTGTAAAGGGAAATTAAAATAGATTCTTTATCTTCTGAAAGCTTGATAATTTTAGTCTGTGTAATGTACTAAGAGAAACAACCAAAAAGGAAAAAAAATTTCCTCATATGGAAGCACAGGAGCCACACAGAATTAAGACAGAGTTGAGTTTTGAGCTAACTGAAGGAAAGAGAGCTTGAGCTTCTAGAAGAAGGAAGGTACAGAAAGAAGGCTCTCCCTCATTGAAGAGTGTTGTTAGTATGTGAACCAGTCTGTCAAAGTGGAAGAGAGGATTAAAAACTCACATGAACTGGCTCACCAACTACAGCCTCCAGGAACTGAATCCAATTCCAGATTCTCACTATGGACCTTTCTGGAGCCCTGGCTCTACCCTCCTTGGCCCACTGGTCTCTATCCTTCTCATAACAATAGTTGCTCCATATCTCTTCAGGTTCCTTTGGGAGAGAATTAAAGTGGACTATGGGGGTCTAGCCCCTCAATAGTCCTATCCCAGGGTCCAAGAAGAATCTATGACAAGCGGATAATCTAATCTTTGATGATATTAAATGAATCTATATACACGAAACTCTTTAGTTCATACACTTTATTTTTCTGAGTCAGTTTTCTCTCTACATAGCTTCTTTTCTGTTCTTATACTTAGATCCTCTCTGTCCCTTCTCTTCTTGTCCTCTCATTGTCCTAGTTTCTACTAAGATCTTTCCATCTCAACCTCCTCTTCATCTCTATCCTACAATCTGCAAAAAAGTCTGCCTTGCTGCTTTCTCCTTGAGCTAGTAATCTTGCCTCAATTGCTTCCCTCCACCTGGTATGCAAAAACCCTTTTGTCGTGAGTCAATTGCTCTGGAATGCTACTTGGCCTGTGAGAGGAAAGAGAGTCTGAGCTTCATTTGCACAAGAAATAAAGCTATGCACCTAGCCTGTCTTCAAGGTGGTGTCTCCAGAAGGGTGTTTACCTTAATTCAGGAGACTTTGCTGTTTTGGCCTAAGATGCTTCAGAAGTATTTCAGATAAATACACTGTTAGGAGTTCTTGGAAGCATACATAACATACAAGAAAATCATTGCAGGAACTGGCTAATATATATACAAAAGCTAAAATATCACCAAAACTCCTTAAGCCATGGCTTGACCCCTGGAAAAGTTCTTGACTTCCCAGGTAGTAGCTTTTGTGATAGTGGCTGAATTCCATACATATTCCTTCTGCTTGCAGCAATTAGTGAAATAATCCAAGGGTCAGTAAACCAGATGCTACCATTTAGGGGATGGGGTCGACAGTTGTGGGTCTCTGTGTTAATCACCATCTATTGTAACTAGAAGCTTCTTTAATGAGGGTTAGAGATGCATTAATCTATCTGTATAATGATGTTATTAGAAATTGATTTAATAGTAGGTCAATGTGTCTGGGCATAAGTTTTTGGCCGGATGGGGTCAGGCTTGGGTTTCATCTTGTGGAGGACTTAACCCCAATCATAAAGTAGTTGTTTGGGGCTGGAGAGATGGCTCAACAGTTAAGAGCATTGGCTGCTCTTCTAGAGGTCCCAAGTTCAATTCCCAACAACCACATGGTGGCTCACAACCAGCTATAATAGGATCTAATGCCCTCTTCTGGCATGCAGATATACATGCAGAGCACTCATGCATAGAATATAAATTTAAAAAAGAGAAAGCAGTTGTTTACTCCCATGATATCCATGCTACTATGCATCAGTGGACATGACTTGCCAGGTTGATCATTATCGTGGCTTGCAGGGTTCTCAGCTGGGAAAGACTGATGATTTTACATTTCTCCTCCAGTAGCATGTAGTACCTTCCTACTAGAAACTGTGAAAGCTGGCAAGTAGGGGTGAAGCGTCTGGGTTAGTACTTGCTCAATGTTCCCATGGTCTGTGACTTAAGCACATGATGTCTTCAGCAGCAGAGCATTACCATCAAGTTCTGGAGGGTAATCAAGAGCATCGGCCTGTAATATTTGTGGATCTGTGGAACCTCAATGGAGCCAAAAACTCCAAAAGAAGTAATCATTCCTGACACTGGACTTTTTGGGGGTTTTTTGTTTGTTTTTGTTTTGTTTTGTTTTGTTTGTTTTTCCAGACAAGGTTTCTCTGTGTAGCTTTGTGCCTTTCCTGGAACTCACTCTGTAGCCCAGGCTGGCCTCAAACTCACAGAGATCCGCCTGGCTCTGCCTCCCAAGTGCTGGGATTAAAGGTGTGCGCCACCACGGCCCAGCTGACACTGGGCTTTTTATTTGTTAGTGCATGGTCTCTTGTAGGGGCATTGTTGCCTTGTTATAGAAAAACTGGATTTTAACTCTGAGGAATGTGTGTGTGTGTGTATGTGTGTGTGTGTGTGTGTGTGTGTGTGTGTGTGTGTGTGTGTGTGTTTGTATTTTAGGTTTCCATATGACTTTTTCAAAAGGTCTTTAGTGTTATTTATTCCTCCCCATACTCCTTCTCTACCTTGCCCTCCACTCCTCCAACCCCAATTTAACCCTTTCTGTTCCATTATTCCCTTTTAACCCTTTACACACATATCAATGTGGCATTGGTGTGGAGTTTTGAGAGTGAGGAGCCCAAAAGGACCCCCTTTGCCCAAGGGCTACCAATGCAGGGAAACCTTACTTCTATCTCTACCTCCTCCCCATTCAAGCTGGTCTTCCAAAGTACTTAATGCAAGACCCCGCAGAAGACAACAAGCCTGGACTCTCAGTGAGAATTGGTCTTTGCTGTTGGCAAACTTACAACCTCATCAAGTACTGGGAGTGGTATCTCAGAAGGGAAAGAGCAGCTTCCTTTCAAATAAACCACATATTAGCAAGCTGCTTTTGAATGAGAGCCTCTCTCGCTCAAGGCTGGGTACTAGTACTCAGGATAAAGGTGCATGGGAATATCACAACACTGCCATTCTTTCTCTGTTACTTCAGTAACACATACATGAATACAGTGTTGAACGCTACATATGGTGGCACAGGCCTGTAAGCCCAGGCCTTGGGAGCCTGAGACAGGAGGATCACAAATTTCAGACCAGCCTGTTCTACATAAGGAAACAGCATCCTGGGCTGGAGAGATGGCTCAGCTATTAAAGGGTAAACTTATAACCAAAAATATAAGAAACAGTATCATATTTCATAAAACTCAATCCAAAACACAACTCTTACCTCAAAGGGGATAAAAAAAAAAAATAGTTTGACCTGGAACCAAATATGAATAACTAGGGCTCATCTTGACCCAATTCCATGGTCCAATGTCATGAAAATTTTATAGTAACAGAACAAAGAAAATTACAAATCAAGACACTTTTAAAATACATTGGTGGACCAGCGGTGGTGGTGGTGGTGGTGGTGGTGGTGGTGGTGGTGGTGGTGGTGGTGGTGGTGCACGCCTTTAATCCCAGCACTCAGGAGGCAGAGGCAGGTAGATCTCTGTGAGTTCAAGGCCAGCCTCGGCTACCGAGTGAGTTCCAGGCACAAAGCTACACAGAGAAACCCTGTCTCAAAAAAAAAAAAAAAAAAAAAAAAAAAAATAGATTGATGGAAACATTATGTAGGCAGTTCCCAGAAGACCAGGAAAATCTCAGCTATAGGCTTCAGATTTTATCTGATGGCATTCTTAGAATTTTGGTTGGTGGGAATTAGGGGTCTGTTTAGATATTCTAAAGGATTCACCTAGTGGTTACAAACGTGTTAGGTCACATATAGAAGAGGGCAATAAATAATAATAATAATAATAATAATAATAATAATAGTAATAATAATAATAGTTTTTTAAAACAAGATTTCTCTGTGTAACAGTCCTGCTGTCCTGGAACTCACTTTGTAGATCAGGCTGGCCCTGAACTCACAGATATCTGCCTGCTTCTCCCTACTAAGTGCCTGGCTAGAAATAATTATTAAGGGCACTAATGATGGCCCAATGTAACTTTTCTCTGGACTTGCAACCTTCAATCAGTCAGCCTTAGTAGTCAAAGCTTCTTTCCAGGAATTCTTGTTCACAAACAAAAAACTGAAATAAAATTATAAGTAAATGCAGTTTGAAAGATTAATTATGCATGTGAAAACTTCCAGAGCTTTGAGATTATAGGTCTCATTCAGAATCCCAAGGCCTCATCAACAAATAATGCCATTTAGCCTGGCCTGAATCCTTAGTTACCCTCAAGAACCAAAACAGACTTCACTCATGTATTAGTTTCTGCCTTTTATCTGTCTACTAGTCGGTGCCTTCGGTGTCTGGTAAACTATAGAACAGACATTGGCCACTGCTTATCCACTGGCCAAAGAATGGAATTACCTTAACAACAACCCCACCACTGCCACAGCCATTTCTGGCCTGGGAGCTTATCAGAGGACAAGAGGAGAATCCCTAGGCCATGTGTAGTAACAAGGACATTGATCCTTCTCCTGGTGGCTTGGCTAAACTGCAGCCTTGTCCCACAAGAGGGGTACTTTTCATTGCCTAAGTTTCACCATAGCCAGGTGTTCTGGACACACACACACACACACACACACACACACACACACACACAATCGATATTTTTTTATATATGGACTTCCATAGGCTTTCTCCATGTATTCTTAGCTTGGCTAACCAGCTCCTTACCCTCTGCTCTCCACACCCCCACTGATGCCCCTTTAGCCTTAGTCTCTGGTATATTTATTCTACCTCTCACTTTGTGTCATCTGTGTTTTATCCCCCTAATTCAATTTTTTCCTAGGGTTGTGTCTTAGTTACTTTTCTGTGGCTGTGATAAAACAGCATGACCAAGGCAACTTATAGAAAAGAGTGTTTACTTGGGGCTTACAATTTCAGAGTCCCTGACCCTCAGTGGGAAGCATGGCAGCAGACAGACATGGCACTGGAGCAGTAGCTAAGATCTTCTATCTTTTTTTTTTTT